CAAAGTCTCCCTCCCGCCTCCGAGCATGAAGCAGGGGCTTCCTGCTGTGGCTGGGGACAGGTTCATGTAACTGCTCACCTGTTACCTGTTCCTTGCCCTGGGATTGGGTACCTGCTACTGGTCTGAGGGGTCCGGCAGAGGACAGGTGACAATTTGATGTCCTCGTTGCTGCCTAGGCACTGCTAGCTGCTTTCCAAAAAGGACAAAGCCTGCCTTCCCCCACCCCCAAGGCCCACCGTTCATGTGGCACCAAACACACTTTCTCTGAGGAGAGGAGAAATTCCTCACTTGTAGGGTTCGCGCATATCCATGGGTGATGCAAATACGCATTCTGGCCAATCCTGAGCTGCCACACAGGGAGTCTGGGTGAGAAAGCGAACACACTTCACAGAGCGTTTCCTCTTTGCCCACTGTAGCTGCCGGGGACCGCAAAGGCCTGGCGAATGGTAATGTGGAAGGCAGAGAGAAAGCTGCAGGCTGTGAGTGCCCATGGCCTTTGGTCTTGACAAAGTTCATTGCAGGTTAACATCATTTCATTTCTCATGCAACCAGTTTGCGAAATTCTGAAACTTGAACCATGGTTTCTTGGGAGCTGGTCTGTGTGTGTTCCCAACCCCGGGGTGAGACCCTTCTCCAGAGCGAGTGGGCTCTTGGGGAGGGGCGGGGGGCGTTGTGCTGGTGGTGCTCAGGGGTTTCTCCTGGCTGGCTTGGGGGAATGAACCCTAGTAGCCAAGTGCAAGGCAAACAAACACCCACAACCTCATGGACAGCGTGAGTCCCCCAGGAGCTGACTCTAGTGCGTCAGGATCCTGTGGGTAGGGCATCAGTGGTCCCTGAGTTGGGCGGGTGATTGCTCACTTTCCTTCCTCCTCAGTCATCACATCAGGTGTCCCGAGTCTCCATAAACACAGGCCACTGGAACTGGATCCCTTGTGGTGTCAACAGTCAGAGCAGCTCAGCGGCCAGGCCCACAGGTGAAGGGATCACAGTGGGAGGAGGCTTTACGTAACCACAGGTAAACAGGCAGGGAGGCTCAGCCTAGAAGCCGAGAAGCCGAGACAGAGGGGCCTGGCCTCAGGCCTCAGAACCTGACTATTTCTGGGTTCTACCCCAGACCCGCTGAGTCAGAGCCTCCGGAGGCAGAGCCAGGAATGCCCTGGGGATTATGCGGCAATCACCACAGGGCAGAAACTCCTTTACTTCCTGGGTCTTAGAGTTGGGGGGTGGCAGGGAGCTGCCTGTCGAGTCAAGAGCAGGTTTCAAAAGTGATTGGCACAGTTCTGGGCCCTGGACCCCCACTCTAGGTAATGAATGAATGGGCTGACCTCCCCGTGTGGGGGGTCCACTGGCGGCCTGCTCAGTGTTCACAGGAGCTGGAGTGCCCTAAGGGGTAGCCATGGCTACTTAGCTTCCGTGGCTGAGGGGCGAAGACCTCAAGCTTGCCAGAACTATTCATAGAAAGATTCTAGAGACGCCCACGGGGAAAGAACTTCCAAGCCGTGGATCTTGGGAAGAAAATACCCAGCAGAGGGCTCTGGCCACCACTCTGCCACTTGAAGGACTTGAAGAGGTAGTGCACATGGCTGGGTGCACGCTTCCAGGAAGGACTGAGTTCGATCCCAGCACCCCATAGTCCCCTGAACCGCCAGGGCTGAGTGAAAACCGGGGCGGGGGGTCGGGGGCGGGAATTGGCTCTCTCCCCACTTTGGAGCAAAAGCCAGGGGTAACCCCTGAGCTTTGCTGAGCCTGGCCCTAATACAAATATAAATAAAAAATAACACATACACCGAAATGACCTGACCTTTTTTGTTTGTTTGGGGCCGCACCCAGCTGTGTCCAAGGCTCCTAAGCTCAAGGAGCCATGAGACGAAACCCGGGAAGCCACATGCTGGCAATCAGCCTGCCTGCTGTACCCTCTTTCCAGCCCTCTCCCTCTTTCCTCTTTCGTGTCTCTCTGCCTCCATCCTGCCCACCTCTCCTTCCTCATTCTTCCTAAATAAAATTTTCTTAAAAGGAAAGGAGACATCTTCATTCTTGGGATGGCAGATGCCAGCCGCTCCCAGCCACACTCCAGTGGCAGACGGTCCCCAAGACCCTCCTCTCCTGGGCCTGGGTGGCTCTCGGCATTCCCTCCTCTGAACTGCTCTCAAGCCCAGCAGACAGTTGCTCGGTGCTGGCAGGCCCAGCCAGTGTGATCAGCTGCCCCCAAACTGGAGACTTAGAGCAGTATCTCTGAGGCAAGTGCTTGCATTCCAGACCATGGGGGCTGGCTGGGCTGGGCAGCACAGGGCCTCAGTGGGGCTGGAATGTTCCAGACCAGCCTCAGTCTCATCCCCCTCTCTTCTCCGCAGACGGCTTCTCCATAGAACGAGCAAGCTCTTCCCAGCCTGAATTTCCAGGAACCCGGGGTTTGAAAAAAGCCCAGGTCACTCCCAGAGGACCCACTGATCAGTCTGGATGGGGCTTTGGGTAGGGCACTTGCCTTGCCCGCAACTCAGCAGGGTTCAATCCCCGGCACCCCATATGGTCTCCTGAGTCCCACCAGGAGTGATCCTTGAGCACTTCTGGGCGTGGCCCCAAGGTCAAAGACACTGCACCTCCTGCTGAGGGTGGCGGGTAGGGGCAGAGAGCTCTCCCGCCAGGAACAGGCCAACACCTGTGGATGGATGTCCAGCCCAGGCCCAGGGAGGGAGCTGATGGGCACATGGGGGGCGGGGGCTACTCTGGGGGCACTGACAGGGTCTGTGGGCATGAGCTCCGCTTTATCACGTATGGTCTCCTCTTCCCCCAGCTTAACCCCTTCCTTTCTACAACTTCCTCTAACCCTCTGAGTGCTGAATCTTGGCTGTGGGCCTTGCTGCTCAGGGGAAGCAAGGAAATACTGCCGCTCAGTGCTGCTTCCTTGTTTGAAAGACTAAAAACCACCAGCACCATGAACTGGCACTATAAAACACGGCACCTGGCTCGCGGGAGGGTGAGTAATCCCCGAGGAATGGCCGTGACATGACTCGGTAAACAGGGAGCCTGGAATGGCACCAGAGGTCCCCAGGAGGCTGGGGGGGGTGGGGGGAGGGACGCCAGGGGACCCAGCTGTGTGGACGGGAGAGGTGGGACAGGGAAAATCAGGTGAGCAGAGAGCCTGCTGGGGTCCTCTCAGGTGACTCAGCAGCCATGGGCTCTGTTGAGAATTGCTCTCAGGAGGCCCAGGAGTGGGGTTCATTCACACAGCCCTGAGGAAAGGACTCTGCTGCCAGAACCTACTCGGTGCACGGGGTGGGCGCCAGGAACTGAACTCACCACTTTATGGCCCCTGATGTCCACTCTCTTTTGTTTTGTGGCCATGCCCAGTGGTGCTCAGGGATCTTATGGATGCTTGGGCCTGAATTCCCATCAGCGGTATGCAACCCTGCCCACTGCACTATCTGGCTCCCTGACACCCACTTTTAACAACAGCCTGGAGAACAGCGGGGGCTGTCTCCTCCATCAGACTATGCAACTCCGAGGGCATGCCCCACCCCATTTGGTGCTTACAGAGGGCACACTGAGGAATGTGGAAGCAAGAGGGAGAGCTGTTTGGCTGCTACCAGGTTTGTGGAAACCTCTCAGTTGCCTCAGTTCCCTCCGTGGTAAAATGAGGCAGGCTCACGGCAATTGCTGAATGCAAAAAAGACCTCAAGAGGCAGAGACAGTGCTGCCAGACTTCTGGGGGATACGGCACGGACATCAGTCCTAAGAAGAAACTGGGGGAAAGGACCAGAAATATAAGCAAAGGGGAACCCGTTCATTTTCATCGTTTTCCTGATTTCCACGCACTCAGAACAGCCAGGAATATGGCCTGGGACAAGCCGGGTGCCTACCTGGAACTCACGAAGGACACAGGCTTCCTGGCGGGAGGGTGGGGAGCAGGACAGAGCCCCCGAGAAGGAGGCTGCTGTGGCCCACACGAGGGAGCGTGGCCTCAGAGCTTGCCTTCCCTGGCCGCTCTCACTGGCCTGTGAGGAACTGGCTTTCTGCCACATCCCTGCCAGGGCTGCGCCTCCTCTTCCAAATATTCCTCTGCTCCCACGCTGGCCTGAGATGCTCCCTCCCACCCCCACGCCAGCTCCCATCTCCCCGCCATGTCCAGGGGTACCCAGGAATGCTCCACTCTCCTCGTGCTCTCCCTGGCTGCCAGTTTCTTCACACTCCCTGAGCAGCAGGGGGCGAGGGGTGCTTGATCAGCCACTTGAGAAATGGGTGGCTGCCTGCATAAAGGCAGCAGTCAATGGCCTCTGCGTCCCCCACCCTTAATCCTGGGCTGTTGAGGGGCTGGTTTCCCAGAGTGGGCTCCCTGGTGGCTCAGCAGTCCCCCTGGACTGTTCCAGGGCCTGGTCGGGGGGGGGGGGGGGATCTCCCACACTCCCAGGTAGTGCTCAGGGGGCCCAGGGGACACAGGATGTGTTCGAGGTCGTGATGCTGGGACCGCCTCCATGGTGCTTGGGGCTCTCCGGGGCCAAACCCGGCCATGCCCGGGGAGCGTGTGGCACTGGCCGCATGTCGCCACGTGCCCTGCCCCTTGCAATCTCTCCGACCCTCAGGAGACCCTTCTGTGCTTTCCTTGGCCTGGTGCCCCACCCCCCGCTCCCCCGGCCCAGGCCTGCTCCTCCAGGCCTCTCTGCACCTCGCCATTCTGGCCCACGTGAGAGGGTCTGAACACGTCACCTCCTCACTGCAGTGAGGGGATTTCCTCAGGGCCGGGGACCTGCACGCGATCCAGCCTGTTCACTGCCTCTCCTGTGAATCACCTCGTGCTTTCTGCCCATACAGTGGGGCACCACACCCACGCGGGCACCACGGGCACAGAGCCCAAGGAACGGCCTCCCCCCCCCCCCACCTGTCGTCCTGTCTCCTGCCCCACGGGGACCCAGATGTGCTCCCCCGCATCTATGCCAACCCCCTCCCCCAGATACCGTGCCGCCCTCTGGCTCCAATGCACCACACAGCAGCACACAACAGGCGAGGCTCATGTCCGTCTCAAGTTTTATTGTAAAAGTGTTAAAATAAATTACAAGGGAGTGGCGGCCCGGGGGGACATACAGTGTGTGCAGTTGCAGGGCCTCGAGCGGGGCTGCAGCAGAGGTATTCGGTTGGGGGGTGGGGGCGGGGGGGGCTCACCTCCTGCCCAGCATTCTGAGGCGCGCCCATCCCACGCTGGGGGGGGGCCCTGACCTTGTCCGAGGTCAACGAGGAACGCCAACTCTAGGAGGGCCACCGCGGGCACCCCCAAGCCGTGGGGCCCTGCCTCTTCACCTTCGTCTGCCTGGGAAGCCAAGCGCGGATGTCGGGCCTAGCGAAACAGCAGTTAAATCACCACCGAACGGCAAGCCGGGGCAGAGGGGCTGGCGTCCAGCTCTGAGAAGCCAAGAACTCAGCTGCAGGGAGTTCTGCCAGGCTGGTGTGTGTGGCTCCACGCTGTCGTCTGCTCCAGCTGTGTGTACATCTCCACCTCCCTCTCCACAGTCCTCCCCCACCCCCTCCCAAGACCCAGCAGCAGCTGGAGCTTCGTTCGCTCCCTCCCACCTGGGCACCAGGCACCAGGCGCCCCGCACAGCCGGGCATGCAGAGGGAGGCCTGGCCCTGCCCATCATCCCTTCCTGAACCTGACCCCTCCGCTGGCCTCGGGACGCTCTGTCTGGGACAGGGTCCCCGGCCCTTCAGGTTTGGCTCAGACTGAGGAACCACAGCACCACTCAGGCACCCCAACATCAGGCCCAGGGAAGGGCCCTGACGTCGCTGAGCCCGTCAGCTGTCCTGAAGGCAGGTACCCCCACCTCACTGCAGCCAGCTAACACGGGTGAACTCAGGGGCCTCAATGCAGATGGTGAAGACTCCGCCCCCCACCACGGGGCCAGACTGCTGGGGTCAGTCCTGCCAGCCCACGAGTCTTTGAACCGTCTGTGGTGCGAGCCGAGCTCTGAACAGGGACCCCCCCACTCCCACACAAGGGCACCCATCCAGCTGGAGGAGTTCGAACTGGAGGGCTCTGGTGGGCGTGGACGGTGCAGCAGGCCCCGGCCCCCCCCCCACATTCCAGGGCGACTCTCCCCGTTCCCCACACAGAACCAGGAGCCCTACCTGGGCACCCCAGAAGGCCAGGGGTAACAGGAGCCCTCGGAAGCGGGCGGGGGGCCGGCCCCGCCTCACGTGCCCTTGGGCCCGGCCTGGGGGTACTCGCTCAGCAGCTGCTCGTAAGGCACAGAGAACTCCGACTCGGTGCTCGTGAAGGTGGACTCGTCGGAGGAGGGGAACTCGCCCAGGTTCAGGGGCGCCTCGGTCCCCGCGCCCTCAGCGGGCCTCTGCTCTGTGACCAGGGGCTCCTCCAGGGAGGACTTGGAGGCCTCCTCGTCTGAGAGGCCGGCCTCGCGCGTGGCGCTCCCGGCACTCTGGGCGATGAGCGGGTGGTAGTCCTGGGCGTCCCACAGCTCGCCCTCCTCGCTGATGCGGTCCAGCTGGCCTGACAGCCCCTCGGAGGCGGCGGGCTCGTCCCCGGGGTTGCTCTCCCCAGCGTCCTCGCCAGGGGGCCGCGACACGTGGCCTTTGCTCCTCAGGGTCTGGGACACCTCCTCCAGGCTGGGCGCCCGACTCTTGGAGTACAACACCAGCGGGGCCAGGGAGGCGGGCACACCGGGCAGCACGGGCCCCGGCGAGCCCAGGGCCGGCCCTGGGAGCCGCTCCCCCGCCCCGCTCGTCTTCATGGCCTTCTTCCCGATCTGCTTGATCAGGTCGTTGTAGGTCTCCTCCTTCTTGGAGAGGAAGCTCAGGATGTTCATCTCCTTGGCCGCCGGGCCCCCCGCCATCTGCAGGGCCTTCTTGGAGTGGGGGGAGCTCTCGAAGGACTCCTTCCGCCGCCGCCGCCGCTTCTTAATGGCCTTGTGCACCTCCACGAACATGCTCACCTTCCAGTTGACAAAGAGGGACAGCCAGGCCAACCCCAGGTAGATCCAGAGCTCCACGAAGTAGCGGTACAGGGCGTGGTAGTTGGCACTGGGGTTCACGCCTGCGGAGAGGCCGGTCAGAGCTGCCAGGGCCGGGGACAGGAGGGACCCTGGGCAGCCCCCCACATCCCCCGCCGGCCAGAGGCAGGAGAGGCTCCTGGGACAAGGCTGCCCGTGGGGCGGGCGCCTGGGCCCAGATGGTCTGCGGGGCCCGCTCCCACTCCTGACACTGCCTGCTGCCAGCGGGCAGCACTACTTGGGTCTGTGACAACTCAGTTCGGAGCGGGGTGAAGTCAGGGAGGGGCCTGCTGACTCGGTGACAGGGACGGACTTGCTGGTTTGAGGTGAATAAGGCTGGTGTCTGGGTCCAAATGTGGAGGGTCAGGGGCAAGTTTCTGAGCTGCCTTGGCTTTCTCCTGGAAGCTCTGCTCTGTCTCGCTGCCTCAACCTCCCCCCAGCCTCTCCAGTCGGCTCCTCCTACATTCTGCCAGGCTCCACTCACTGGGGGCCCCCACCCTGGGAAGGAAGGAAGGAAGGAAGGAAGGAAGGAAGGAAGGAAGGAAGGAAGGAAGGAAGGAAGGAAGGGGAGAAGGAGAGAGAGAGAGAGAAGAGAGAGGGAAGGAAGGAGGGAAGGAAGGCATCTGTAAAGTGGAGGCTCTTAAGTGTTGTCTTCTAACAGAGATGAGTGATACGGGGTTGGAGGACAGCACAGCGGGTGGGCATTTGCCTTGCATGCAGTCGACCTGGCCGACCCTGGTTCAATTCCTCCACCCCTCTCGGAGAGCCTGGCAAGCTGCCGAGAGTATTTCACCAGCATGGAAAAGCCTGGCAAGCTCCCTGTGACGTATTCGATATGCCAAAAACATACTAACGAGTGTCACAATGGAGACGTTACTGGGCCCGCTCGAGCAAATCGATGAACAACGGGAGGACAGTGACAGTGACAGTGAGTGATGGGAATGCTTGTAAGGAATCTGCTTGCTTCCCCACCCCACCCCACCCCACCCCACCTGCGCTCCATCCCTTCCTCATCACTGCTGCATCAGCCGGGGCTGTAGCCCACAGCCCAGAGCAGCCACTGTGCTCGTGGCCGCTGCCCTGCTCCAGTGGGGCTCAGCCACACTTCCCACCACAGCTGCCCCTCGTCGCTGCGGAGCGTGTGTGGGTCTGGGGGTGCATCACACCACCTCCCCAGCCCCCGCCCGGGCAGGAGCAAGACCAGGGGAGCAGCAGGGGAAAGGGGGGGAGGGTACTGGGGGGAGGACGCACCGGCCACGAAGTCCCCGAAGCCAATGGTGGAGATGGTGATGAAGGAGTAGTAGAGGCCCTCGATGTAGTCCCAGTCCTCGGTGACCATGAAGACGAAGGGCGGGATGACCAGGTGCACCAGCACGCCCCACACGATGAAGATGGCCGTGCATGTGATCTGCGCCTTCCGCTGGGAGACACATGGCAGTGAGACGGGGAGGCCGACCCACTCGCCCTGTCCCCCCACCCCCAACCCCTTCCCTGCCCCTACCAGGCTGACGCCTCTCCTGGTGAGGAACTGGCCCAGCCTCTTGGCACGTCCCCCGAAGAACTTGCCCAGGGCACTGATCCACGTCAGGCACAGAGGCACGCCGAAGAGGCCGTAGAAGACGCAGAAGAGGCGGCCAGCCGGGGTCTTGGGGGCCACATTGCCATAGCCTGAGGAACAAGACAGGGGGTCAGGAGGTCTGCTCCCGCCGGCGGAGCGGGGGTGGGGGGGGCAAGAGCAGCCCGAGACGCTGGTCTCTGGGCAGGACTTGCTGTCCCTCTCCAGGCCGGAGGCTCCCCGAGGGACCGACAGTCCCCACCCCGGCTCGGGAGGAGCCCTGACAGCCCACTACCCCTCCCGCCCCCACGCGCTCTGCTCCTGGCGGCTGGCCTTCAGCACTGGGCCGGCTCCCTCTTAGCCTTGTGGGTTTTCCTGGTCTGGGCTTGTGCGGCACGGATGGAAGGATGGAAGCCAGAGCCTCACCAGGTGCGGTGGGAGCCGCCTACCCTCAGGGCCTCCTAGAGCCTGCCCACCCACAGGGCCCCATGCCTCCAGCGCCCCCATGGGAGAGAGAACCCTCCCACCAAACCCACTCCCGGGGCTCCAAGACAGGGTTTCGGCGACCTCTCTGCTCTTAACCCCTTCTCCTTCTCCCCTGTGACCCAGGCAGTACAGCGGGGATAATACAGCCGAGGCTACTCTAAGACACACCCCTCACGACCTCTCCCTTCCACTGCGTGAACCCCCTTTGGGGCCCTGACTCAGGACTGTCAGGAGTTTGACTAACTCACTGAGGTCCGGGGGCTGGGTAGGCACAGCCACAGCTAAGCAGGACCGCGCCTAGTTCACAAGCAGACACGCGTCTGTCCGGCTGCCCACCAGGCTGTGGTGTTTCTGCTCCAGGAGCCCCGAGGGACAGGACTTCTGGGAGACAGTCTCCCGGGCACGCCCACCAACCACGGGGCTTCTGAACGCCTAAGGACACACTCTGGCAACTTTCATTCATCTGGAAGGGGCAAGGGGCGGGGGTGCTGGGGTGAGCTCCTAGCGGTACTCAGGGTGGTGGTGGATCAAAGCAGGGCTGGCTGCACGCGAGGTGAACCCCTGGCCCCTGCACTGTCCCTGCAGTCGGGCTCCGTGGAGGCTGAACGGCAGGCTGACGGCCTCAAGGACTCACCGATGGTGGTGATGACTGTGGCTGCGAAGATCATGGCATTGGGCCAGTTCCAGTTGTTGAAGGTCTGGTTCCCCGTGATGGCCACGCCCTGCTCGGCAGCATCTGACACTACCTGGAGAGACAATGCCGTCACAGGTGGTCAGGCTCCTGGATGGCCGCTAAGTGACAGCACAAAATCAAACGGAGGAATAGGCAGGGATCAGCGCCACTGCCCTGTGAGGCTGCGGTCACAAGTGCGAGTCCCCGGTGTCCCAACGTGTGCCGGTATGACCTAGCCAGGGCTGGATCTGGGATTCTGGATGCCACAATCCGTTTCAAGCTGGGCCACAGTGAACCGTGTGGGAGCACCACAGAAAGAATGCCCCCCGCCCCCCAGGCCCACACACGCTCCGCAGCAACGAGGGGCAGCTGTGGTGGGAAGTGTGGCTGAGCCCCACTGGAGCAGGGCAGCGGCCACGAGCACAGTGGCTGCTCTGGGCTGTGGGCTACAGCCCCGGCTGATGCAGCAGTGATGAGGAAGGGATGGAGCGCGGGTGGGGTGGGGTGGGGTGGGGAGGGAAGCAAGCAGATTCCTTACAAGCATTCCCATCACACCCCATCACTGTTATATGAGCCTCCACTTTACAGATGCCGAAACATTGTCCCGGAGAAGAGGAGGACGGTGAAGCCCCTTGCCATTCTTCACTCCCACCTCTCACCTGGAGAGTTTGTTACAGTTCATGGCTGGGCCCTGCCCAGTTCCTGACGGGTGGGATGGGATGGGGTCCAGGAAGCAGAGCTCCTGACAAGCCTGTCAAGGTCACCGTGCTCCAGGAGCACCCTCGAGGCCCGCTGGGCACCTGGCTCTGAAGCAGACCCACCAGAACCCGCCGCTGACCGGGAACGCTGCACTTCACAGGGCTGTGCTCAAACGCCGCGAAGGCTGCCGTCCACCCCCACTAGGCTCTCCGGGGGCCCGAGAGGGTCTGCGCACTGGCTGTGTCCTGGCCGCGCCTCTGCTCTGTGCAAGGTCAAGGTCTGCCTCAAGAGTGATGAAGTCATCAGCACAGGCTGGCCTGTGGTCCCCAGCCAGACTCGGAGTCCTGCAGTCGCACGAGCTCCCAGCAAGGCGGCCAACAGGTGAGAGGTCACGTCCAGGGAGGCCGGAAGAGACCTTATCTCTCCAGGAACTCTCGGAGCTGCCCAACCTGTTCCCACCTGACCAGCTGCCGCCGCCCCAGACACCCTTTGGCTCTATGACTGTCCACCCCCTGCTAGGGACACATCACAAACCTGGCGCTTGAAACCTGGGGTCCCAGGCCTATCCCCCAGGAGGGTCTTAGGAAGGACCATCCTACCCTATGCGGTCAAATTCCCTCCAAAACTCCAGCCCAAAGAAGTCAGCATCTGCTCTGCAGGGCAGATGCCTGGGTCTGGTCCCTGGCCTCATAAGGCTCCCCTACATTGCCAGGTGTGGCTCAAACCTAAAGGACACAACAAAGGAAGTCGTTGGGCTGGAGTGCCAGTCCGGGGGACAGGGCTGAGGCATTTGCCTTTGCACACAGCTGGCCCCAGCTGGAATCCTGACACTGCATACGGTGGCCCAAGCACCGTCGGGCAAAAGCAGGAATAAAGCCAGAGCAAAGCTGGGCAGACCAAACTGCCCCTCACCCTCCTCCAATGCCAAGAACTGAAGCCAGAGACACCTTTCGTTAAGGTGCTGGCCTTGTTTGAGGCTCCCCCGAGTTCGGTCCCCGGCACCACATCTGGTCCCCTGAACCATGCCAGGAGTCAACCCTGAGCACCGCAGGTGTGGTCCCAAAACCAAAACTAAGTAAGTGCCAAGTACTGAGGGAGCAGAGTGAAGGAAGGCCGAGCCAGGGGGAAGGAGACAGAAAACCTGCCTCCGCCTGGCGGGAGGGCGGGGAGGGAGGAACGACTTGCAGGAGCCGCGTGAGGCCAGGGTGAGTGGGTCTGTGGTGCCACGGAGGTTTCCAGGTGCCACACGTTCACACGGTCTCTGCAGAGGACGTCACTGCCTGCCACCCTCTCAGGTGGAATCCTGGGGACAGTCAGGCGTGCAGACCAGGGAGAGAGCTTGAAGCCACCCTCAAAGTCCGCCCACATTTTCCCAACTTCGCACTGGCAGCAGGAGAACGAGGCGGCCCCGGGGAAAGGGCTGAGCAGACCCTCCAGCGGGAGCCCCCAGCTGGGCGAGGCAGCCCTGCGGAGTCTCAGGCACAGCCTGACGGCAGAAGCCGAGTCCCACGGTGTGCCCGCGCGGAAGGCAGCTCCAGACCCGACTTCTAAGCTGGCGCGTCCGTGGAGGAGGTGGGGAGCGGGCGCTTGCCCAGGCCACCGCACAGGCTCCCCAGCGACCAGTCACGCTCGGCTAAGTGAAACTCCTTCTCCACAGGGCTTACAAAACCGTCCAGACTGGCGGAATGCAGCAAATCTAGATTTCAGCCCGGCAACTGAACAGATGGACTTGAAGATAGTCGCGTGGACAAGACAGAGAAACGTGGGGCGGAGCTGGGACTAATTTGGGTCCATTTAGTAAAGCCCATAAACAACCAAGAAGTATTGATGTTTATCAGCCTGGCCTGAGGTCCCCATTATCATGCCAGAGGCCTCTGGCCTGTCAACAGCACAAGGATGTGGACTGCCATCCAATCCGGGGATGCCCAACGACGGGGGCACAGACGGGGTGGGACAGCTAACAGATGACAGGCACGCCGCGGCAGACAGGGGCTCTAACTCATCTGGACAGCGACGAGGGACCCTGTGAAGGGCAGCTGCCCTGGGCGGCGGGGAGGAACCGCAGGGGAGGTGTCCTTGGGTCTCGCTGGACCACGACGCCATAAACACTGGGGAAGCTGCCAGGAGAAAAGTAAATACAATCTCAGGCAAGTCAGCACCTCTGCGTTCCAGGGCGGGGTGGTGACGAGCCCATTGTTCTCTGCATTGCTCCACCTGGGACTCGGGTCGCACAGCAGGGTGCCGGGCCCCCCTCGGCAGCGATCCACTTCTGGGTGCTCCGGCACTCGCGGGGACCGCCGGGGAGGCTGGGTGGAGCAGGAACAGCAGCTCCAGTGCTCCGGAACAAGGCCCTGTATGTCCCCAGCACTGCCCAGGGCAGAGTCCTCCTGCCCCGTCCTAACAGACGGGAGGGTGCCGTGCGTCCTCCTGGACAGTGGGCAGTTCCAGCTGCCAGGGAGACGTGCTGACCATGTCAAGGTCCAAGTGGCCTGGGGATCGCAGAGCAGGGGCTAGAGGGACCCCCCAACCGAAGAGCTGGCCAAGCGCATTCTGACGGGGAGCTCTGCCAGGGAGGCCGGAGGGGACAGAGCACATGCTCCGATGATAGCCCTGCACCCCGCAGTCCCCAAACAAACAAATGAAGTCTTCAGAAAGGACGGGTACCCTGCCCTCCACTGCCGATGGAGGGCCCGGTGACAGCCTGGACTCTGGCCCCGCGTACCAGAGAGCCGCTGTTCCAGCCTTCCCCACGGAGTCCACGGTCCCCCTGGATGGGCAGCAAAGGGGGGTAGTGCAGTGGGACAGCCGGAGGCCCCCGGGGGCTGGAAGCCCTGAGTGCTGACGGTATCCCCGCAGTAGGAGAGGAGCTGCTGCTGGAGAGATCTCTGTGGACAGCCGAACCCAGCCCTGCTGCGCAGCCCTGCAGGCGGCTCTGTGTTGCTGGGGGCTCCCCACTCTGCTGCTCTTGGCTGGGGGTGGGATGGGCAGGTACACAGCGAGGGGACCCCGCGCATGAACTGCACAGCACGGACGGGGGCACGGGCAGGGAGACGCGGCTGCCGAGATGCGCCCGCACAGGGCTGCTCTGACTCCCACCTGCAGCCTGCCCCCTCAGTGCAGGTTCTGGTCAGGCCCCATCGTCCAAGGTTGTGCAGGGGCCAGGTCCACACCCCGAGACAAGGCGTCCCGTCCTCGGGGTTAGAGAAACAGCTTCCCGGGAGGAGGTGGCCCCGCTCCCTCCCAGGACTCTTTAACTTGGCTCCCGGCTGCGCCCAAGATAATATTTTGGTTGTGCACATCCCCTGGCTAGCGGGGGTCCTGCCCCTAGCCCTGGCCCAGGGCCCCTCACCTCTACCACCCTCACTCACGCAGCCCGTGCAGTTCCTGGGCTCCAGCATCACACCGGGCACCCCTGCCCCAGGGTACTGTCCTGTTGCGAAGGGGCCAGAGCCTCTCCCACTTTGCAGATGAAGACTGAGGTCTAAGAGGGGCTCTGGGACTTGGGTCTGGTCAGCACCTTGGAGGAGAGACCCAGGAGGAGCCAGTCCCTGCCCGCCCCTGGGACACAGGAAGGAGGGTGTGCCCGCTGCACTTTGGCGCCAGCTGCAACAACACTACCCAGAACTGGCCCGTCCACTCTGGCCCCAACTCGGTCCCCGGGATTCAGGCGACCAGCCTCTGCTCTCGCTGCTCCTGGGGTGGGACGACGTGGGGCCGCTCCTCGGCCTGAGGGATCTGGGCTTTCCCACCCAAGGCGGCTGCCCGCTTGCGCCTGAGTCAGCGAGACGATCAGCCAGTCTCCGAGGGGATCACCTTGAACACAGCCCCCCGGGCTATGGCGGAGAGACCAGCCTCCACAGTGACCTCACGGGTGGGTGCGCAGAGCTTCCGGACCCCTGGTCTTATGGGTGGACCTACTTGGACCCCATCATCCACTCTACCCGCACCCAGGTTGCTCCGGCCTGGGAAGTGGACTCAAGCTGCGGGTCAGATGGGAAGGTCCAAGAACGCAGAGAAACTCCGTCACACCCTGGGGTGCGTCAGGGTGACCGCACCAGCCTCCCTGACCGCTGAATGGTAGCTGGTGTGGAGCCTGTGTGGGCAAGGACAGACCTCCAAACCGGTCAGTGCGCTGACTTAGCAGTCCAGAGGTGGTGGGCACCAGGGAGGACCACCGTGCCAGGGGAGAGGGATGAGGAGTTCGGGGTGGGCAGGGTCAGAGAACACCGCGGGTCGGTGCTGCGGGAATGCAGGTCGCCCTGGGACAGCTCCGTGCTGTGTTCCCGGAGCCCACGACACTGTCTGGGCACTTGAACAGGTGGGCTCGGTGGAGGGGGACGCAGAGAGCGGGGACAGGCTCTGCACGGGAGCCGG